AAAATGAGACTTTTCCCTAGTTCATTAACAGGAGTAGCTTTCTCCTGGTTCATTAACTTGCCAGCGAACTCTGTTCAAACATGACAACAATTGGAACAGTTATTCCACGCTTAGTTTTATAAAATTGAGTCTGAAGTCACTTTGGCTGATTTGGCGAATCTACGTCAAATGCTAAACGAATGGGCAGAAAGTTTTCTACAAAGGTTCAAGACAGCAAGAAGCAAGTGTTTTGTACCTCTGCCCGAAAAAGAATTCATCAAAATCGCTCAGGGCTGTTTGAGCTTTGATTTAAAAAAAAAATTCCAAGACAAGGAATTTCCTGACCTTTTCCAGTTGAGTGCGAATGTGATTAGGTATGAACGACTGATAAGAGGAGAAGAGCAGATGAAAAATTCTAGTAAAAGGGACTTATTATAAAGACCCAAATTTTGACGTTCATACCATCAGCGATGAGTCATACGGTCAAGCCGAAATGTGTTTGGCCGAATTGGTCAAAGGAGACACGTATACTTGTCCTATAATGGCTAAGCCTAGACCATCGGGCAAAGGTGAGCCCATGAAAGATGGAAACATAAAAGTTAGAACGTTCTCATTCGATGTAACCAAAGCTGACCTTATATTTGATAAATTATATAGGGATAAGCAAATAAAGTTGAGCGATAAGCATAAATTGCCAAACCCTGAACAAATTAAGGGTAAAAAATATTGTAAGTGGCATAATGCATGGTCACATTTGACTAACAATTGCTTGGTTTTTCGCCATGTATTGCAGGATGCCATTAAATTAGGACGAATTACGTTCGATGATAAGAAGAAGATGGCAGTGGATGAAAATCCTTTTCCAAAGCCACTTGGAGTGAATATGGTGACGTCTGGTTTCAAAAATAAGTTGCCAAAATTCAAGTTGGTCACAGATGATGGAGAAGAGGATCCTAGACCACATCCCAGTATTTTTGAACGAATCAAGGGGAAAGAACCAAAAAAGGACGAAGACGTCCTGTGTGCAAGATGTAAAAGAGAAGTGAATGGAAATTCGGAGAAACCAAGGATATGGCAGCATTCCCATCGCCCTACTTTCTTCCCAAACACTCAGCCTGGTAGAGGGCGAGATACATCATTCTATAGAGGACCGCCTTTTGAGAGGCAGTTCAGGCCAGCAGATAATGGGAGAACATTCAGGCCGTAACCTCGCCGGTTAAATGTATGACATTCATTCCAGTATAATGCAGGAAGGGTAATACCCTTCGATGAGATGACTAGAACCCAACAAAGGCGTTTCCAACGAAACTATGGACGAATGATGAGGCAGTAACAGGGAGTACCACATCCTAAAGCGCCTAAACTACTTAAGGTAGCCAATCAAAATGTCCTCAAAGATAGTGAAGAGACCGGTACAGATGAATCAATGAAAGAACTGCCAGAAACTTCTTCTGGGAGATCAAAGTTTGAGCGGGACAGAAGGGATGGAGAAGATCCAGATCAGCCCCTTACTATCAAGTTCGGTATGTTACCTCCTGTTGTGGCCAATAATTACTTACTGGCCAATGAATTCAAGAATAAAGAAAAAGAAGAAGAAGAAAGGGAGGACAACGAAGGAGAGGCTTGCGTGCTGGAATGTGAAGAAGGCCAGACTTCTAGAGAGGTCTACAACGATGAAGATGACGACGGGATGATAGACATTGAAGAAGAAATCGACCAAGAAGCAGAAGGAAGAAGGAGAGGAGTATCGCGCAATACTCTATTGAAGCAACTACATCAAGAGGGAGTTCGCGAAGTAGACTTGTTGGGAGAACCGTCTGGACGTCCTTTCGATTTCTACGTACTGTACGGGACACCCAAAAGGAAGAAGAGAGTGCTTCGCTCTAAAAAGTATGGATCACCTCCAAGAATAATGCCCCCTCCCACAGGTTGGGTAACTGACGAGGAAGCATTAGAAAAAAGTAAGAAGGAAATTCAGGAGACAGAGGATCAGCACGATATGCTGCACGTCGACTTATCACAGGGTGATAATTCGACAAAAAACAAGCAGGAAGTAGAAATAGAGGCTGCCGAAAAAGTTATTTTTAAACGGCCAGCCATGAAATTGACTAAATACTTGAGGCCATTGTACGTTAAGGCTCTAGTTAACGGCATCCTTGTGACAAAAGTGCTTG